ACTCTCGTGTATATACACAGTATTTATAGTATGGGATTAAATATATGGATAAATATATTTTATATAAAATAAATGGACGATAGTATGCATTACAGTGCATGGTATGGATGAAGTCTCTCTCTCTCTCTCTCTCTCATTATAAATTATGTAAATTAAAGTTTCCAGTATTACTAACAACACCGGTATAGACCACTGTATACCAGAGTAACACTAACCCTTAAGGCTTTGAAAGTGAAAGTAGAAATAACTTATAATTTGAAAAAATAATTTTCTACATTTCTAAACACAATACAGTACTCGTTATTGTAACCGATTCTACAATTTTTTTAAAAATTCGCAATTTTCGCGTTAATTCAACTAAAAAATTAATAGAAAATCTAAATGTGAAATACATGTGCAAAAAGAGTATTATATAAAAAACATCAAAACTAAATTTGCAAAACTTAAACTTATTATCAAAAATTAGATTTTGAATTTTCAATTTGAAATTCTCACGTAAGCCATACTATAGGTTGCGAAAGACATTTCACTACTTATTTATATACATTAGCCTTTGGGGGTAATAATAGGCAAACCGAATAAATTTCTTATTTATTTCAAATAATTTCCTTTTTCTGTACCTTTTCTTGAAGACATTTATTTATAATTTTTTGCGCGTATTTAATATTTACTATATAAATAAATTTATACAATTTTTTCTCCTAATCTAATTACATGTCAATTGACGGTAGAAAAGCACTTGCGATTAATCGGCATATCTAAGCGTTATATATAAATAAAATGTATAAGTTTTTGGGGATGTTTTCCACCGCTAATTGCAACGCCTTTTTGGACGTGTATTACAAAGTAGTTTTCATATTTACTTATAGTTTTTCGTAAGTTATTTAATCAAATTCACACACAATTTCTTTCGTACGATAAGCACTTGTCTTTATGTGAGTTTAATTAGACTTTTAAAGCAAAATATTAAATTAAGTGGAAAGGCATTCAAAAAATCAAACACTCAAATCGTTTGACTCGTGTTATCTAGAGTTTTAAAATATTTATCATTTAATTCAGACATAAAATTCACTACAAATTGCTTTAATTACATTTTCAATTGTAATTTATGTCAGCATTACTTTAAGCGTTAGATTTGTTTAATTTTTTTATCGTGACATTTATTAAACAACATAACCATATTTAGCCAATAAATAAAATATTTAATGGCATATGAATAGTGGGAATATTAAGGATATTTTTATTATTTATTTATAGAAACTATTTTCGACAAATTACTTGAATTTTTGTCATAAAAATGTATTTAAAAAATAGTTTTATCAATCGATAAACACATTCCCACACGAATCAAGTGCTTACCTATGGCTTCATGAATCATGAAATGTGATAAAACACTCGTTATTTTCATTCATTCAATAGATTATATAAATAGTGAGATATACGCGTGAAATAAAAGCCGACAAAAATATTATCAATTAAGTGAACAAAACACCTCAAAATCCAGGAAAACCCCCGCATTTATGCTGAGACTCCAAAAATATAGACAAACTAACAATAGGACTAAGATCTGGGATATAATCAACTATTCACTTGCGATCACTTGATTACCACTTGAGGTAATGAACAGATTTGCGACCAAAACGGTCACAGAAGTGGACAATGAATGTCAGGGTAGGTTAGCCTCTTTGGACATACCTGTATAGAATTGGTAGCATCGGTAGAATTCCTGGGGTGATGATTGTGGTGATTAGTGTTTGTATTGACAGCCATTTGCTGGGACTTATAGATGAACTTTTCCTGTTTGATGGCCTCCTTGTAGATCTGGTAATAGGCGGCTAACATGAAACCGCAGGGCAACCAGAAGGACACAGTGCTCGACACCAGGGCGTAGGGGATGTTCACCTCCCATATGCACTCGTCCGGGTGTTTGAGCCGCTCCTTCATGTACTCCTCGGTGGTGTAGAGGCCCGTGAAGATGGGTATGTATGAGATGAGCGCCGCCAGTATCCACACGAACGTGATCATAATGCCCACCCGTTTGGTGGTGATCTTCATGGGGTAGTCCAGCGGTTTGATGATCGCATAGTATCTGTCGTACGATATGCACGACAAGTGCATTATGGATGCGGTGCTGAAGAGCACGTCACACGAGTTCCAGAAGTCACAGACCGTCATATTGAAGAGCCATTTGCCGGCGATGGCCACCGAGGCGTTGAACGTCATGGCAAACACGGCCACCAGGATGTCGGCGCACGCCAGCGATACTATGAAATAGTTTGTGGTGATCCTGAGCTTGTGGTGCCGACACACCGATATTATGACCAATAGGTTGCCGAAAATGGCCGCGATGATTATTGTACTCAGGAGTATCACTTTTATCACGATCACTAGTATGTCGATCCAGTCGTAGCCCTCGCCGATGGCGCCGTTGTGGTCGGCCGTCATGTTGATCAGCGCGAGGGTCGTCCGGTCGACGAGTGTGCTCTCGTCGGTGGGCGTCGTGTTGACGATATTCAGCAGCAATAACTGGCCAAAAGTGGTCGGACCCGGTGTTATCGCCTGCGCTGATGCCATGGCTATCGGCGCTGAAAGACCTGATGTATTGAGCTGTCTCTCCAACAGTGATGTCCGTTCAGATCCAATGTCTGATACACTCATTGTTTAACAATGTTTCTGTTCAGGGCACACAACAAACACATTAGTATTATATTATATTATGTCATATTATAATATGTTTATAATGATTGCCACAATTACTATATTTAATGAACTATAAGACAATTGTTTGTGTGAAATAGAAATTTAATGCCAAAAATATTGAGATCATTATTGATTCAAAAAGCTATTCTTGTTTTTTATGATAATATTCTTTACATTACTTTTCGTATTCAGTAGATATTCATTAATGAAAATAATGGTTTATTATTGTATTCATAATTATTTCGAGCGAAAAATATACGATAGAAAAGCTAAAAAATAATGTTTCAATTCATTAAGAATCAGGACATGAATGCTAACATCATTTCCAATCTATTGTATAAACACAGGCATAGCATACCATATCATATCCTAAATGTATGGACGCTTAACAACATCTGGGTATGTTTGCA